TTTTAATAAAATATTTTCGTTTTTTAAAAACTGAAAAAAATATTTTCAACAAATTATTTTCGCTTTTGAAAAAAGTTTTTTTTCTTCATTTTTTCAGTTTTTTCAAGATTTTTTTTTGCAAAAAATGGAAAAACAAACTTGTAAAAACTAATTTTTTTTTTTTGTAAAAACAGAAAAAAATTGTTTTTTNCAAAATATCTTTGTTTTTTAAAAACTGAAAAAATTATTTTCAACAAAATAAATATTATTTTTTTTTTTTTCAGTTTTTTAAAAGAATTTTATTTTGTAAAAACTGGAAAAATAAATTTGTAAAAACTATTTTTTTTTTTTGAAAAACTGAAAAAAAGTCGTTTTTAACAAAATATCTTTGTTTTTTAAAAACTGAAAAAATTATTTTCAACAAAATATTTTCGTTTNGTAAAAATTATTTACTAATAAATTATTTCGTTTTAGTAAAATATTATTTTATTTTTTACAGTTTTTAAAAGTATTTATTTGTAAAAACTGGAAAACAAATTTGTAAAAACTATTTTTTTTTGTAAAAACAGAAAAAAAATCGTTTTTGAGCAGATATTGACACGTGGCGCGCGTGTACTACACACCCCACCGCAAGACTGACTAAGTGTTACCAATGGGGAATTAAATTCACCCCAAACAAGAATAGGGGGGACATAGGTCGCCCGTAAAGTTAAGGTGTGTAAATAATTTTTCCGGACAAGTTTGATGGGTAATTTATGTATTATCTCTTCTTTTTATATTGAATTGCTCTTTGTTGAGCTTGCAAAGAGCTAGTAAAAGGGAGTGGTCTCGCGCACATGAGAAATTGATCCAGAAGGCAAAATGGGTCGATTTGTCCCCCATGCGTGCGAGATATACGTGAAGCCTATTCTAAATTTGGCTTTGCTAAAATTATTTCTTCATTTTTTGAGCTTACCAGAATATGTCCAAATCCATTCTCTTTGAATTGAATTTTGTAATGTTCCATTTATTTTTTGTAACTGACATGCTTTAATTTCTGTAACAATTGTGTTTAATTCTTGTAACAGTTGTGGTTAATTGTGTAACAGCTCCATTTTAATTTATGTAACAGCTACATATTAATTTCTTCATCTGTAACTGGCCAACAACTTTGCCTACAAAAAGGCAGTCTTCATTGTGAATTATCCAACACAGAAAAAACCCTTCATCTCACATCTTCTTCAACCGAATTCTGGGCAATTGTTTAGTGTAAATTCCAAACTTTCAGCCACGAGTGCACGTGTTTGGAGGTGTTGTGGAACCTTGGGGTGCGATCGATCTTAACGGTTTGCACCCAGTCGGGCCGAAATCGCTTTCAAGGCAGTGACTTGCCACGACATATTATTTTTGATAAGTTGTTGTTCTTTCCTTCTTGTTCTTGGTTAATATTATCTACTCATTTTTCTTATAAAAGATTGAACCCATCAAATTAAAATCTTGAATCTGCCTATGATATTCCTTAGCGTGAAATATATGTAGAAGATGCAATTTTCTATAAATTAACGAATTCAAAATTTATTCTTTAAATCCAATAGTTTATTTATTTTATTTCCTAGCTAAGCAATTGAAGATGAGCAAAAAAAGAAGATGTGGGACTTTGAATAAAGGGAATTAAAGAATGATTAGAATATCCATCAACAACATACAACATTGTTTAAAGAACAAGAAAAGTGATAGAAATCTCAGCAAAGTCTATTGTTGGTTTTCTAGAATAAGTTGAACAAGGAAGAAATAATAAAGCATATTAATTTTGTTAGTACACTAGATTTTATTTATATCCCAGTTATTTGTAATTCCCGATCATGTCTTGTACCCAAACATCCATCTATCAATTTATATTACTAATATTTTCATGTTCTTCATATGATGTTATTATAATTAGTGGTTTTACTATGATTTTTTTCAAACACTTTACACATATTTAGTTACGAATAGTCATGTGACGGAATAATATTAAGCCATTTTATGTCGGAAAAAAAATAATGTTCAAATACACCGAAAATATAACCACAACTAACATTTCTATACTTGAGTTAAACAAAGAGTTAAAAGTGAAATACTAGTCGGACCAATCTTCAAATTAGAATTACTTAAATATTCTAATTCAGTGCTTGAATCGTGCGGGGAGGTTTCCCATTAAATATTTCTACTCTCTAATTACCAAATGTGTCATTGTTTCTGGGACAAATGGAGTAACTTTTTCATATGTTTATTTAAAAATAAAAAGATTACTGTCTGGAATAACTTTATTAACACCAGCATCCAAACTAATTAATTTTATATTTTTTGGAACTGAGAGAGCTTCTTTATTGTTTTTTCAAATATATAAAGTGTCAGAATGTCAGGCATATTCCTCCTACCGCAAGAAGACGTCTATGCATTCGAGTAAATAGTCAGTCGGTCAAAATTAGAAATTAAACTTTCTATATTATGACATGTACTATATACCTTGGTTAAAACTAAATCAAGGCTCAATTATCAACAACCCCATCATGGGATTTTCAGGAAATTGAATGATTACTAAAATTTATTCACACTCGATATTAAATTAATGGATATATGATACATATTTTCATATTGTACATAGTTAATATTAAATATAATTAGTTAATACATATTTGATGTTGATTTTTACTTAATCATAATAAATTAATATGATTTAATGTAAATACTGAGTACGATTAAATTGATACGTGATTATTTATAGCTTAGTCATCCTGTGAAAGTAACACAGTCCCTGCTTTACTGTCTTGTTTAATCTACTATCCAATGGTTGTAAGGAAACAATATTGACACGTGGTGTGATTCAAACCATTAAATGGTATCAGTTGAGCATGGTCATGAACCTATAAAAAGTACATTAACATGTGCTCAACTGGCGCTTTAAACT